TTCAAAGAGCATGCTGGTCTTACCCCACTCAACGAGTAACGGGCTTACCCCAATCGGTAAGTGACGGTCTAACCCCAAAGGGCACAAATTTTATAAACAACTCGATAATCAATTAATTATTGCTAAAACTTACCTTTCGTTGAAATCCGTTGATAGTTAACAATGCGGGCGAGAATATGTAGACTTATGTAACTTTGTTTGCTATTATTTGCTTATGTTCTGTCAGTGAAAAATTACAGCCGAATGCGTCTGAACGATGCTCACATTTGATTTGATTGTTTTCTTTGCATTTGACAGTTCACAGTGGGTCCAACATGTCTCAAAATGTCAACAATAGTAAAAAATAACATGGCCTGTGCTCATAAAGTTTTTCAAAAACTGTTTTCAGATATAAGGGCTGGGGTGACGGGCGTACCCCCAGTTCTCCTATATGTTCCACGCGAGCAAACCACGAAAGGATGGTCTTGTAGGTCCGTATCCGATCGCCAACAGAATGTATAGTTTGCTTGACACGCATGGCCTGGATTAGACTTATATTTTTCTTAATAATTTTGCTATGATTGGCATATTTCACGTACTGATCCTTGAATATCATAATCAGATTCACAAACTTTCCACTCGGATCAAGAAGGAAAGTGATATCCAGGGAGGCTACTTCGTTGGCCAATCAAATTTTGTTATAATTCTCATCAAAGTACTTCCAACAATCAATTCGAAACTAACGATTTTAAATTGGCTTACCACTTGACTAGCCTATTGGTCCCAAGCAAACGATTAACGTACCCTATTCTAGTCGAAATTCTAGTACTACGCAATGTTTGTTTTGATTCTCTATGAAAGTTTGACAGATAAAATGAGGGATTATTGGTTTTTCCTATGTTTCGAGGGGTGAATCGATTAGCTTGGGACCGAAGAGAGTACCAGAGCTGAGCCAAAAAGTTGAGCACGTTATTTCGGGACCTTCTAGTCTTAGAGTTACCTCTATGGTACTTCCATCATGACGTACATTTAGCCCAAGATTTAGTCGGTTTTCAACTCCCTCGCACGACCTTAGTTCAACCACAGACAAACAGACATAACACTCACAATCACATTCATCGCAAATAATATTTTAATTGGGAAAGTGTTTGCATTTGTCATGGTGGCGCCACTGAAGCATCGAACAAGCTACCACATTTTGAACTTATCAGTGATGTCAGTTCTTTTTAACGTCTAGTTAGTAGATGTCAGCCCTTGAAAATGATAAGTGGTCAAGGCATCCCACTGGAGACACATACCACATCTGACAAATACAGAAAAAAAGTTGTTGAATATTACATCAAAAGTGCTGCACATTAGTCATTACGTTCCTAATATTAGGCTGTAAGATGTAAGACACAGAATTCGAGAACAAATCATATTGATGACTGTAATATCAACAATCAATATGAAACTATCGATTTTAAATTGGCTCACTACTTGACTAGCCTATTGGTCCCAAGCAAATCGATTAACGTACCTCATTCTAGACAAAATTCTAGTACTACACAATGTTTGTTATGATTCGCTATGAAAGTTTGACAGATAAAATGAGGGGTTCGTGGATTTTCCTATGATGGGAGCATCGATTAGCTTGGGACCGAAGAGAGTACCCAAGCTGTGCCAAAAAGTTGAACACGTTTCTTCGGGACCTACTAGTCTTAGAGTTACCTCTATGGTAATATTCTATCAACTTTTACCAGTTATTGATGTTCAATACTTCACCATGAATTTCATTGATTGATACATATTATATTTTTTGCTGTACACACATTAGTGATGAACGGTGGTAGAAAGAGCACTAATTAGTGACCTCGTTTAAAAACTTGTTTGCAGCAAAAGAAAAAGCACACTAAACAAACAAAACAAATCCCTAAAAACAGTCTTAGCTTCTGTGAATTTTTCTTACAAATCCATATTTCTGCAAAATTCAATCAATTCTATAGATCTACGGTAAATTTCGTAGAACCGACGTCTCTGACTTCCATCTGTTTTGTTTTTATCAGCGTTGACAGAACGAGGGAAACGCAACTAGTGAAAAAATTGCATGAACGAGGGATGCTCCGATTGCAAAACAATGCTTGGGAATGTGGATGATAGATAGTGCTAGTGAGCATGCAAAATACGCTTGTCTAAGGGCTATGTCTGTTTGTCTGTGGTTCAACGTTCATCTTCGGATGGACACGGCACACCATGTCAGATGGAAGGAAAGGAGTGGTATTTGTCGGATTGTAGACGAGTTATGCGGAACCGCTACGACGATGAGTAGAGTAAAAAAACAACACAGCGGATACTACTCAGAGACCAGCGGATTAAGGGAAATCGGATTCCACAAAAATTGATCAATAATCGCAAGGAAAAACACTACGCCTTAAGTGAACCCTACACGATTGCTTTTATTGACAATAATCGTATTGTCAATACATGCTATATTGACGTCAATATATCGAGATTGACAATATTTCTGAATTCACACCATCAATATTATTGTCAATAATTCCCCTTCACGTCAATATATTGAAGCGTGTGGGGTTTGCTTTAGACGTTTCAGACGTTTAGAAATCGCGTCTACGCGACGCGGATACAAAAAAAAAACTTTTCGAGACTGACTGTGGTGCCAGCATACCTATTTCTAGCAGGGTGGCCAGATATTTTTTTTTCATTATCGGTAGCTTCTTGAAACTTTTATCGGTAGGCCGTCTTAAGAACCCTAATAAACAAATATCATAAACGAACTGTATCCCGAATGGGTAAACTATCCCACAAATGGTGGGGATGATACCCCGAACACGTTGTTTAGCTCTCTTTTATGGTTATTTTTTTTTATTAGGGAAGGCTTTCCCGATACTTGAAACCGTTTGTGAGCGGGGGACTCTGCTCCAAAACAATACACTGTCCTTCAGTTCTTCTGCTTTAAACGTGGCGAAATCAATATTTCTCGATAACTTTTTCAAAGGGACGTACCAGCTTTTGTAAACAATGAATTTGATCGTCGATTTGGCGTAACTGCTAACACTACCATCAGATAGGGGAAGTTTTCCGCTAATTGATATTGGTGTTAGTATGCGTGTGCGAGCTACCAGTTACGCCAAGTTGACGATCAAATGCATTGTTTACAAAAGCTTATACGTCCCTTTGAAAAAGTTATCGAGATTTCTAATTCTAATGCTAATTCTGACGACATGGAAATCAAAACATAGGTATTGAACATTTTTCAATATTACAAAAAATCTGTGATTCTCGATAGGAAAAGTGAAAAATCGGTAGTTTTTAACCTTTCGTCTGTGAATTGGTAGGCATCCCGAAAATCTGTAGGACTACCGATAAATTGGTTGATCTGGCTAGAGTCGGTGTATAATGAGTCACGCCAAGAGAAAAATAGTTTTACTCGCATCACGGTTTTCGAAAGATTCCCTTTCTTTTCACTTGGCAACATAGGACTTCTACATCAACTTCAAATGACTTCTAGCCATAAATAAAAATAGCGGCTGTAGTAAATCATTACATTAGTGATTTTGTCAAATTATCTTAACAAAAAATAGTAGAAATTCTCATTACTGGTCATTACTAAACGTATCCCATGACAAGTTAATGCTCACTGCGTATTTATGACCATTTCTTCGATTATATTTTATATTTTATTGCAATACCTTTCGTGGACCTTTCATAGCATCGTAATGTTTGTTTACTTTGCTCGATAGGTAGCCGGTTTGACAGTTCAATAGGTAGACTTGGCTTCACTCTTGGCGTGACTCATTATACATCGACTCTACACACAGAAATTCAAAACAACCCAAAATTAAGTTCTTTTCACTCACCTCCCATGTTCCGTACGATAAGCCAAATTTGGGTAAACCGGCTCAAAGTAGTTTGCATTTAAGCACGGCAAAAAAAAATTACCCATCGCTAAGTTATTTTCAATTTTTTCTACCCAAAATTAAGTTCAATTAACTCAAATTTGGGTATATCGCATATTACTCAATTTTGGCTTCTCGTACACGGTAAGAAAAAATACTCAAAATTAAGTTAAAAAAAAAACTCAACGTTGGGTTCTATCATTTGAGGTCCGCCGTTGAGTGAATCAGAAAAGCGGTGTTGGTTAAAATTTACTCAACTATTGAGTAATAATAAATGAACTCAAATATAAGTTTATTTTCATTGAGGTTGCTTTTATGCGCCTTTAACCATTTCATTTTCACAAGCGTTTATAGACGAGTGGTCAACACACGGGCCCCGTAATCTCAATGTCCATGGTTCGTTTCCAGTCTTCTCCGTTTTATTATTTTTTTGTCAACTTGGTCAACGCCAGGATTACTCAAAATTGAGTTTTCTTCTTTAACTTAATTTTACCTAGCCCCACGGAAGCCACGTGATGAGTGAAAGGAACTCAATTTTGGGTACTTTTTTCTTACCGTGTACGGAACTAGACGGTTGAGTCGAATCTTTCGTTCTATTTTTGACAACAATAGCGAGAGGAAATGAAACGGGCAGAGGTCAAATAACTCAAATTTGAGTTTAAAAAACCCAAGCGGTGGGTAGTTTTGTTTTTCTGTGCAGGTCTGGCCACCCTGCACGGTAAGAAAAAAGTACCTAAAATTGAGTTCCTTTTACTCATCACGTGGCTTCCGTGGGGCTACACTGTAACTGGAAAGTACCAATTAATGGGTGAAAAAGTGCCCATTTCGCGGTAAAGTAGGTAAACTCATAAAATGGGTAAAACGTCTTTACCCACTAATGGGTAAAGAGCTTATACGTCAAATCTTGGGGTACTTTTTACCCATTTCCAGAATGCATTGTTTTCCGTGACTGGGTAAAAAGTACCCATTTTTTAAAATTTATTTATGGGACTTAATCTGAAATTTGAGAATTTGCAATTATTTTAAAATCAATCAATAAAATGAAAAATAACATATTAATGGTTATGCTTTTGGTTTGTACTTGGTTTTTATTGAACATCATTGCAATAATTAATGAAAACAATGATATTTATACATTATTCATCAGCATCTTTTTCGTCAGCATGGATGGATTCCTTAAACGATGAAACCAAACGATTGACCATCTGACGGGTGCTAGTCGTTTTGATTCCATAACATATGATTTCGATGAAATCAATAATTTTTTGCACTTCTGCTGGCGGACGAATGTTGAAAACAGTGAACACTTTAAATAGAGTGTCCAGCGCGCGGATGGAGTCAATTCCACCGTGGATGAGTTGAGCGTCAACGTAAATAAAGTAATTGTTGCCGTTGAAAATCAGATGGGGCGCCACATCAACGTTAGCATCGACATTCCAGGCAACATACTTCATTAATTGCTCTTGTAAAGCTGTTTCAGCATCCTGCAAAAAAAAAATGTCTTTTTAACAACAGCAAAATCTAGCGTAATGGATATATTACCGTGATACATCGAATTATCGGAGCCGCTAGTTCTGCTTCGATGTCTGTAGACTCCTCCAAGGAAGATTTTCGTACACCCCTTCTGGTGAGGGAAACGAGAATGCGTAGACATCCTCGGACATTATCTGTGTAATGTTATGTTTACATGATTAATTATATGAAAGTATACAAATAGATTTTTAAGGTTAAACACGAGGTTAAACATACCATCAAGAAACGTCGAAAAAGTGCCTCTGTTTACTAGAAGACCTCTAGCAAATACTTGCTTCAAATTGGACTCCTTATTGTATGATGGCATCAATCGCTCGTACGCTTTCTGAATCTGAAAATTAGAAAATTATGCTTATGGTTTTTAAAAGCTTATTTTGTTAAAACACATTTCTGGAGACTAAAGAATGAGTGCGATAAAGTGTGAAATTTCATGAGCCAATGATTTCATCAGCACTATGACGTCATTAGCTACGACGCTGTTATGACGTTCTCATACTCATGTTTTCAGAAGATGTTTCAGTCACATCATAGGATCAGCATCATATTGACTAATGACTATGTGATTCGTTTTATCACACTCACAGTAAAACAATAAAAATCTCTATTCTAAACTATAATAGTAAAATATAACTTACTATCATTCCGTTGTATGATCGAAAATGCGGGAAAACATTCAATATCTCGAAAGTTTTTGATTTGGCATCTAACATCATAATGAGCAAGTCATGCGTCTCTGCCATGCTTCTAGCAATGTTGTTGAAGCTACTCGATGTTGCTTCGATTTGAGCCATCTCTTGAGCCATCTCAACTATTTCGGATGAAACGTTGATTACTTGTTTATTTTTCGGTTTGCGGGTGAACTTTTTTTTGCTTGGTGAAACGTTCTTGCATACATTTCGAGTATGTGTTTGTATGACCCCGGAATGCTCATGGCCTGGTCCTTTACCTCCGTTCTTCCAGAAGAAAAATGACTGTAAATAATGATTATGTAATGTAGGTTATTAGTAGGTTATTGATAAATTCAAGCTGAACATTGCATTAGGTCCTAAGTAACATTGATCGATTCTCTTCGTCGACTTTCTCTTTCGTTATTAACTTGAGCACATAACCAGTTCTTGTTGTGTTTGTCATATTAGATGCTAGATAAAAACTTCTTTTATTGATCTGCGTGCTGGAAATACCTGGGAATGTTTTTACATGGCCGTGGGGATACAAAGAGAAAGTTGACGAAGAGAATCTCTCAATGTTACTTAGGACCTAATGCAATGTTCAGCTTGAATTATCATAATGAAAACTTACGTAATCTGGGCTGACTTCTGATAGTTTTGTTTTTTTCAAAACGGGAAATGCGTCTATGATTTTTATAGCCAATGCCAACTTCTGGTCAGTGGTGGGATATCTGAAAATTTGTGAAAGTGTTTACCTCCGGAGCTTATTTATGTATACTGTTTGAGTTTATTTTTTGATTACTTAACAACTTCAGGTCTGAATTATAGACACTTATAGTAATAGACATACATAGTCCAATTTGGTGTGAAACGCGCAATACTATGAGTATCTATTGTCTGAATACAGCCTAATTCTTAACATAATGCATATATTTGCTCGAATATATTCATCAGTGAAAGTGAAGACCGGCATTTTTAATATTCCCGTACACTACTTATCCTACTCATATACGTACTGTTGACCTGCGAACATTCCTTCACATAAAGTACGGACCATCAGCAATAAGCCGTTGTGCGGCGGTACGATACCAGCATCTAGCTTTGAAAACAAAATTTTCCGAAATTTTGAGTTGGACTCCAAAATCTGCCGAATCTAGATTACAAAAGATGGTAGGTTGAGTAATCATATTAATTGTATTTATTTTTTTTAACACTTACGGTTCTTTGCTCGACTAGTGGTTCAGTCGGAACACGGTTTTCATCCACATTTTTTTCTTTTAAAGGACCACTTCCGGACGTCGATGGAGTTGGTGATGGACAATTCCTCTTGGCTGCTTCTGACAGAATAACAAGCCTGGGTCCCATCTCAGTTATTCCGATTTTTATGAGATCCGTCTCCGACACATATTTCAGCGAATCATCCGTAAACTTGTGTTCTGTGAAAAATGTGAAAATATGTAAACAAACGGCACTCTGCGTACCTTCATGCGCGAATAGAACGTCAAGTAGAATGTTGTTTTGATCGATATCGATTTGTTTTCACAGACAATAAGACTAAGAACGATTTTTTTGACGTAGGACTACGTCTTTGATTTCTATATGGGGGTACACTTTGTGAAAACCAAAAATAGAACATGTAACAAATTAAGAAAGATTTTGAACGTTAATAACTCAGCTGCCCTTGGTCCAATTTCAATAATTTTATTACCAATCGATCAAAAATATTGCTACGCAAAATATTGCAGAAACAATGCTTCCGAATGTTGATTTTCAACAAAAAACTATTGAAAAACTGGTAAATGTCCAGCATTGTCCAAAAGCGTCGAATTAACTAATAAATCCACCAATTCTTCTTCTTCTTCTTATTCTTCTTCTTCGCATTTCAAGCTTATTGCATAACGCATATTAGCTTATTGCGTGCTCTCAACAGTTATTAATTGAGAGCTTTCGATGCCTGTACCATTTTTGCATTGGTATAATTGTGTGGCAAGTCCAATCATACTTATATGCCCAGGGAAGTCGAGAAATTTTCCAACCCGAAAAATTCCTAGACTGGACCAGGAATCGAACCCAGCCACCTCCAGCATGGTCTTGCTTTGTAGCTGCGCCTTTACCGACTGAGCTAAGGGAGGCCCCAATCCACCAATTACCTACATGCATATGCTGCTTCCCCAGCACAGTCGTCAGAGAGTAGTAAGTAGACGAAACAAGTCGAAGTGCGCGTGCGAATAGGGAGGATGGAATTGCGTAATATTTTGCACACTCATCGCCATATTCAGAACCAAACGCAAATTCTTCGAGATAACCACCATCCGTCGTCTGGCTCGCCGTGGCGGTGTCTGACGTATCTCCGGTCTGATCTACGAGGTGTGCAGAAGGTGTTCCTGAAAATGAGATCCGTGTGTAGCGTAAGCGGCCATGGATGTCATCTACGTTTTGAAGTGACAGAGACGCACTCTGTTTGGTTGCGGAGGTTAAATCATCACCAACATTGGCAACAAAACGGCTCTTTTAAGGGACACCAAGCTTATTACAGTAAAGAGTAGGAATAGAATTCATCTGCCTGTTTGTCCATATTCAGAACCAAGGATCACACAAAATGCTCATGTAATCAAACTGGAAGCAGGGGTACAAATTATGTTGTTCAACCTTGATCAACTTTGAATCGCCACGGCCGGATATTTTCGATGGAATAAACAACAATCTAACATCTAATTCGACGAAGACGGCAGGAAACATTTGTGAAGCCGAGTTATTTACGAAGGAGAGTGTCGATGAAGAGAATCGATCAATGTAGATAGGACCAAATTGAAAAGTGACGCGAGATTTGTTTTCCGTAAAGAGCCTGAATTTATTAAGAGACGACATGTCAAAATTGGAACAATGGATTATCTGTCAAAGTCATAGGAAAAGTTATTCCAATCGAGCAGAAGACTTGTCAAATAGATAAGATGTCGCCTCTTTACCCAATTCAGTCTCTTTAGTTTTCCGTACTGAGCTCTAATGCTACCGACGCCAGGGAGGCAGCTCCCACACCTGGACCCCACATATCGACCCATCAACTCATGAACCGGAGACCAATGGCTTTACTTCCTGAAGGAAGGTGTGATCAGAGATGTTGTGCCTTAGAACATGCCGGTGGCGCCGGCTGAGATTGGACCCAGGCCTGCTGGGGTGAGAGGTAATCACGCTTACCACTACACCACCGGCGCCGATATCTTTCAAGGTGATATCACGGCGAATTAGAACGTTCCAAATTTGAGTTTAGTCAACTCATAAATCACATAAAGTGCAGGAACTCAGCGATGAGTAGATTTGCCACATGTTTTCCATGTTTCCTCCGGTCTGATCTACGAGGTGTGCTGAAGGTGTTCCTGAAAAATGAGGTCCGTGGTGCTACACTACACTAAACACGCCAATCGTAAGTGGCCATGGATGTCCTCTACAATAAAACGGCTCCTTTCAGGGCCATCAAGCTTAAATCAGTAAAGAGTTGGAATAGAATTTTATCTGTGCCTGTTTGTCCTTATTCAGAACCACAAGCCCCCAACGACCACACAAAATGCTCTCCAGAGTTGTAATATTGTAACCAAACTTGGAAGCAGGGGTGCAAGTGATTTTGATTGATTCTCTTAATCAACTTTCTCTTTGAAAAAAATTACTACAAATTTGGTACGCCTACAATTCAAAACGGAAAGAGTTGGGATAATAGATAATTGATCAATTAAAAGAACTAAATGCTCTTCACATTTATTCCTTCCACTAGTGGTCCTACGTCAAGCTTCCGTTCGTGCCCCTAGGCACAGACCCTTCTACTTTTTATTTCTTATTTTACAAAATTAGTCATATTAATAGCAACATTGCAATTTTACATTTAATAATTTTATAATTATACGCGATGCTCTGAACTTTTACTATCCACAGACAATTGGACATAGCAACATTAGGAAAAATATAATTGATTTGATTATTTTTATTTTTACAAATGATGCTAAACGGGCAATTAGAACTAAAACATAAACTTAAACAGAAATACAAAACTAGTGCTTTACTGTTTTACTTGCAATGTAGTTAAAGATAATAATTCTAGTCAGTATATTTTAAGCTAATGTACAAGAATCTATTTTCAGGTTCAGTGTGTTGCAGATTCCATAGACTATACACCTTTTTGTTTAACACGTTAAGAAAAGATACTCGAGTAGTATTATCTGACAAGGATACTTTATAGCTATTAAGATTTTGAACAAACTCAATGATATTTAACATCTGAATGATACATAAGAAAGATTTATCTGTACTGGAATGATTTTCAATAATTGCATTTATTATGCCATACTTTTGTCCTGTATGAGTATTATATTTAATTACAACACCTGGTCTAAGACTAGTACCATTAATGACCAGGTGATTAACAAAAGTAATGATTTGAGGGAAATCAAATAATAGTAATGCATAGTCCAGAGATTCCTTATTTATCTGAGCACATGATTTAATATTTATTTGATCCGTTTCGTATTCGTGATTTATTATTGTGTTGACTTGTTTCAAGTTGATCCTTTTAGCCATGCTTGACGTTAAGTTCCGAAAATTACGGCATGTTTTTGCTTGTGATTTGGATACTCTAAATTTTGCTTCAAATTGTAAGCAGCTCATTTTAGCAATTGGACCACTCTGTTTGATTACTTCTACATAATGGGAAATGTGGTGAACTTTATTAATCGGAGCTTTATTAGGGAATGCCAATTTCAGATCTTCGTAAAACTTTTGAATAAAATAATTCAATATTTCTATCATTTCATTCGTTAAGCATGTGGAAAACGAGTAATATGTAATAAAAAGCAAATCTGTAATCAAATTTGAAAATTTTTGAAATGTTGGTAGTACATCGGAGAGAATGAACGGAAAAATTCTAAGCAGTTTCCAACTTTGAGAAGCAGACTGGTTGATCATATTACCCTTTCCCTTCAAAGTTTTTGCCATAAAGTTCCCTGAAGGCTTATCATTAGCCTCCGCAACTCCATAATCAAAATTCTTTATTCTCTCGTTGATCTCGGTATCAGTAATAGCTTTGGCAATGTTGATAATATAGTTCAATATTCCCTTTATAACCATTCCAACCAGCCCCTCCAAAATGTCATGCATCGGGTCAAAAGAAATATTTTCTGTGAAGTGAAAATATTGCAAACAATCTAGTGCAGATCTTCGAAGGACGCCGCATTTGGAAGGTGTTGTAGCGTTATTTTCCACTGCTACGATGTCAAGGTTAACGCTCTCTCTAGTTCTGGGAGAATATTCTGCTCCGTAACGGCCACTGTGAAAGCAGTTCCTAGTGATATAACAAGCACGACAAAATACGTTAGACTGCGCAGGCATAAGTTCGAATAGTTCGTGTACTGCAGCCGTATCTCCCAGAACATGAACTACTGTAGCCCGCAAAACAAATTCACCATCTTCACTTCCTAGATTGAACGTAATGCCATTTTCCGACTGAAGTCTGAGTAAGTCCTCCACAAGTGGTTGACAGATTTTTCTCAACCCATATTTTTTTACCAAGTGAGAGCGAGCCATGAGAACCGTATACACCCTGTCGAGGCCGGAATTAATTTTATCGTCAAGATTCTGAATTTTGAACGAAATCACAGTAACTTTCTGCTTTCCTCTACGGGAACCGAGTGGGTTGCAATATTCTACGTCATCGATGTGTATGGACAGGCGTACTGTAGACGGGTATTTCCGTAAGTATTCAATTGATTCGATCAATTTTCCATCCAGAAAACTACAAACGCTGCTAATGGATTTCCTTTCTCTCGCTATCATTTCCCTCGCTTGCCTGTTGCGCATTATCAGTATGAGAATATCCATAACTGAAATGTAGTGCATGGTGTCCTTCGTAAAGAAGCTTTTCTTAACGCAGCCAAATTTCTTCATTCTGTCCGTTCGGATGTTTTGGATTTTTACTGGATGGTATTTAACAATACGATTAACCTTAGATTTTCCCAGAACGATCTCCAATGGCTCGGGGACATTTGTCATAGCTTTTCCACACAAATGCTCCAAGTTTTGTTCAGGAGTTTTGACATCTGCAAATATTCCATTAATATTCAAGTGGTCCAGCACATCTAGCACACGCTTGTCATCGGTTGGAATTCCTGTGTCGTTTGCAAACTTTCTGAAAAGATCCATGGAATATTTTTGGTAACTATCCAGCAGCTCCGAGCTCAACTGAATAAAAGATTGTATTTTTCGTTCCGGGAGGGAAACATCGCATCGGAATCCAGTTACAGCTGCTGAGGCATTATCTTGCAGATTCTGCCTCATAGTCGAAAATGATGAGTTTAGCATTGTGGGTTCCTTTTCATCAAATTGAGTAGCTTCCATATTTTGAGGATCGCAGTCGGGAATGGTTGCACTAGATGAAATATGTTTTGGATGAACCTGT